CCACAAACAAGGGGATAATATTGAAGAAAAATATCAAAATTTTACAAAATAGTGAGCCATTTTTTAGACACTTCTGAACATTTTCATCAACTGGAAGATAGTACCCACTGGATTGGCATGAAGGAGGTAGAGAAATGACTGTGGGACTGGGAATGCCACTGGTTTCCATGTGGCTGTGATGGAGTTGGGTAGCCTATAAATTGAATGAATGAATGAATGAATGAATGAATGAATGAATGAATGAATGAATAAATGCACTTCTGAGCTGGAATCAGAGAATTTTATGGGTGAACCTTGCAAAACACATTTAAGATTGTTTTTAAAAGCATAGCACCAGTTATTTATTTGGTTCTGTCTTGTGCCTTAATCAGAACACATAGGATGATTGTAAGGCAGAGACCAAGAGTAAAGAGAACTTAGGTTGTTTTCACATTTGCAAAGCCAGTGCTAAGAAAAATTTATTGGAGCCAAACTACTTGTGATAACAAACCTAATCTTCACTCAACTACTCTACCATGTAAAGGTGAAATGGTTGGGAACCCACCCAGTTGAGTACAGAAGGTGGTGGAAATCATCTCTTTCTTTCTTGATTCTTGATTATTGCTTGATTGATTGCTTATTGACTAACATGATTATTAAAACAGCAGAAGCTTGCACAGTCACTGGCACATATATATTGTGTCTTTAACCATTCAGACTTTTCATCCACAAATCTTTAGTGGTACATTTGTGGCTGTTAGCACCTATAAGAATCCTTACTTAGCCTTACCAAACTGAAAAGGCACTGCTGCAAGTGTTGCCAGATATGAAAAAGCTGTTGCAACTGGAACCGAAAAGCCAGAATGCAACGTTCATGAATATTTCACATGCCCCACTATATATGAAGTCTATATATTGTGACTTCCTCCTTGTCCACCTCCACTTGACAGAGGATTAATCACAATAAAGAACTGAACTGCATGACTGAGTTTTGCAAACAACTGCAACTGTTTTAATCATGAGACTATTTTGGTTGGCTGCACAGAGCACTCATGGTTAACCTCCAGTCAGTGAGGTTAATCTGGCATGCAAGATTACCCAATAAAGCCTACACAGCTTTCCAAAATTTATGTGACCCTTCCAAGGAAACTCTGTTCATATTCCCTTCCTTCATTCCAAAGAAATCAGAGATGTCCCCTTACTTTTTCTGAGCAGAACACCAGAAGGTAGCAAAGACAGGGCTTTTGTTTCTTGAAGCTCCACCATCTGAAACCATCCAAGCTACTGGGAATGTGTGTGGAGGACAATGGCAAGCTTCTTTTCCTTAACTCTAGACTAGAGCAACACTTTCTCAAGGGGATTTTTTTTTCAGTGCCACAGCGTGAACTTATATTTCCTCTGCTATTAGCCTCTGGAATAGCTGGTGATGCAGCAGAGGGAAGGAGTCTGGGAAAACTGGGAAAGGACGTCCACATGACTAAAAGTGAAGACAGTTGGGGTCCAGCTATACTTGTTCAGTTTCTCTCTCACACCGAAGAGAACTCCAAAGACATTGATGAATAGATGAGGCATTTTTAGAACAGTCTTCCTCAACCACATGCCCTCTCAGTGTCCTGGAGTATAGTTCCATAATTCCAATCTTGCATGTTCAATTATCATATAAGTTGAGAAATATAGGAAATGCACTCTAACATATCTCAAGGTCACCAAACTGGGAGACAATATCATAGAAAGCTTGAACCAACCAAGCCTTGTGCTGGATTCCTTATGCATGTTATTTCTTTGCCTACATAATTCACACTAACCATGGCAAAAAGGAGCCTTATAAGCTGATGGCATCACAATCGCTTCCTTTCCTAGCTCCTTGGTCATGGGATTCTACCTGCCATATTTCAAAATAAAGTTCATTTTATCTATTATTCCAGCTGCTAAATGTCCAGTCAAGGTCCAGTGAGGTTTATGCCTTTCAGACAATCCCTGACCACTTGGTGAATTGATTTACTGTCATTAGACAAGCACAAGCTGTCAGCAGATGTATACAAATACACACAAATACATTGTGGATAGATCTTGGCAATACATTCCCCCTGCTCCTTCCTCCCGTTTACTAAGGGGATTCTTAGGTTTCCTGCTTGGTATAACTTTGGTTCCCATGTGTTGTCATGTTGCCTGTGGAAAGAATATGTGTTTGAGTATTTGGAAATGAAGACAAATATAGGGCAGGGAGAGAGGAAATAATTTCTTATTTTGTTTTATGATGTTGTTGTAAATATCTTTGGCTAGCTGCAAGTTACATAAGAATTTAGGGACTTTTTACTGGGATAAAAGGATTTGGGCCTGCTTACCTATAACAACTTAAAGTCTTCCTCGAGTTGAGCTAGTGACTATGTGGACATTTTTCCACTTTTTTTTTTCTTTCTGAGAAGCTTTACAGTACTGCAGTGACTTCCCAGTCTACCCACAGCTGTGCTATTTCCTCATGGTCTCTCATTCAAGTGTCAGCCAGGTCCCACCATGCCCATCAGCCAAGACCCGCTAAGGGCTGCCACCTACTGAGATTGTTTACCTAAAGATATCTAACAATAGATACACATTACATGAATTTGCAGAAAGGAGGCTTTGGCCATCATCCTTAAAAGTGTCTTTTTAAATTGCAAACTCTGAAATATTTTGAAAATGTCACAGATAGAGGGATCTGGACAGAGATAATGCAAGGTTCTGGATTTAATGTTCTCAAGTGGTCTTTTTTAGGGTAGTAGTGGCATTGACAGCAAGACATCTTCTGAGAATCATGCATGGGTCTCCCCTCCTCCCTCCACATACATACACACACATACATACACACAATAAGGAGTTTCTTTCTTAGGGGGAAGAACAGGGCCAGAGCTAATTTATAAAAGGGGAGCAGTGAATTTGGGAATCCTGTGTCAGCATTGGCTTTAAATGCATAAAACCAGGACTGTGGCTGTTGGCGCTCTCTCTCTCTCTCTCTCTGTGTCCCCCCTTCCCCTTTCTTTCTGGTAAGTTGCACCTCTGAATCTGGCTGTAAAATCCTGACTGGACTGCATTACTGTTCCCAGCCTGCCCACCCCTAGCCCCAGTCTTTCAATAAACTGATTTTGTGACGAGATTGCAAGGTGAAAGCTCTTGCATTCTTTCTGCAGAACTGATATGGCACATAATGCCTAAACATTTCAGTGGACTTTACCTCCTTCCCACCACCTTACAAGCCAGCAAATTCATAGATGTTCCTCTTTGCAGAGTGGGAGGGGGGGCTCCTTGGAAGCCGGGCCCACCAGATGCAGAGAGACTTCTTTTCGAGTGAATGTACGTAGGCGTACCCAAGCTTTGCCTCTGGCTGCAAATCGAAGGCATAGCGGACGCGGCGGGATTTTAACGCGGGTCGTTTTCTCACTGCCTATGCGTGCTGATTCCTGAACTAACTTCCTTGTCCTTGGTGGCTTTTCGTGTTGCAAACCGGGCATCACGCAGTGAGGGAAGGTTAATGCGTGGGAATTATCCCTTTCAAAGCCAAGAACTGCGAGGAAAGCGCGCGCCCGAGCGGGGGAATCTCCCATCTCGATTTCAGGCTATGGGAACAATGGACAATACAGCGCCAGCAGCCACCCTAGGAAATGCCAAACGACTTTCTCTTTTACGCTACACATTAACTCCGGCCCACGCTTGGCTGTAATGACAAGCCGGCCCCTTCTGCCACAATTAGTATGCTTGCCCGGAGGAGAGAATAGGAGCCGCAGCGCGCTTTCCTTTTTCCTGACTTTTTAAGGTCATCGGCGCTATTAGTCCTTTCAGATTCCTCGGCTCGTTAGGAAACAGCAGGAACATGTGCGTGCTGGATTTCTTAAAGAAAAAAAAAACACGTGCATTTTTTAAGGGGTTCACCAATGGAAGGTACAAAGGAAAACTACCAGGGCTCTTGTAAAAAAAGGAAGGACAGCATCTCGTCAACTCTAGAAAGATTATTTTAAAGAGGAGGGGTCCACGATCAAGGCAACTCGAGCTGCAGGATGAAACACCCGGCTGTGAAGTGCCCTTAACGAGCGCGTTTGTGTAGGGAAAACATGGAGAGCGAAAGGCTGCCTTTTGTTCTTCCTTTAATTGGACCATTTGTTGAATAATCGCTGGGCTGCTCTGCTTGAGCTTTAACAGAAGGAAACTCGAGCCCCAGACGCGCGGCTCTAGTGGCTGTGCCTTCCCCTCTCCTCCCCTCCCCGCACCTTTCCTCCTTCCTCCCGCTGAGCTGCTGTTGCTGCTTGTTTGCACTCGGCTTATCCGGAGCGGAAATTCCTTTCCGTTTTTGTGAATGACAAACTCATTAACAATTCATCAACACAACCTGTTCCAGCCGGCCGGTTTCCACGGCAACCGCTCCTTCCGCAAGCGCTGATTGGCCGAGTAAGAGAATGTATCCATTGAGACGTTCCATGTTTGTATCCATTGAGGAACTGCCTGGCGCTGAAAGAGGGGGGATAGTGTGCGGGGTTGATTAAAAGGGACATTGATCACATCAAGTGGACTTGAAAGAAAGAAAGAAAGAAAAATAGGAGGCAAAAAAACAAGAGAAAAGCAGGAGGTGGTGTTTGGGGCGGAAAGCAGGAGGTGAGAAAAGAAGTAGGAGCCAAGGCCATGAAAAGCTGCACACGGGAGCGGCAGGCAGAGCAATAACACCAGGGGCCAGCGCCGGGTCTAGCTAGGTCGCTCTAGGTTGCATTTCCTTGTGCTGTGCAGAACAGCGCTTCGGCGCATTTAACTGGAGCTCCTACTTTCCGGGAGGAAAAGAGCGATGTTAATGGACCTAAACTAAGGAGGTTCCTTGAGGGGGTCTCCGGGAACGACCAAAAGAAAGAAGTCCTCCCGGCACAAGAGCAGCACTCCGGCTTGCAGCGCACAGCCGGGCGAAGAGACGGCTCGGCTGGCTCCCTCTCCCGTAGGCTGAGCCGGACAAGGCTCCGAACGGGCTGAGTTAGGACGGACTGCCGCTCCGCACGGGGCGCGCGCCGCCACTCCATCCCGCTGGTGCTGCGGCCCTTTGGACGGGGGCGCTTTGCGGAGCTGCCCACCCAGCCTGGCCTGCCAGAGTCTTCCCTCATGCTAGATACGCTTCGCCCGCCGGTAGCCTCTCTCGCGTCGGACATGGCGATCTGCAAGACGGTGGCGTGGCTGAAGGAGCAGCTGGAGCTGGGCAACGAGCGGCTGCTGCTGATGGACTGTCGCCCGCAGGAGCTGTATGAGTCCTCGCACATCGAGTCGGCCATCAACGTGGCCCTGCCGGGGATTATGCTGCGCCGTCTGCAGAAGGGCAACCTGCCGCTGCGCGCCCTCTTCTCCCGGGGCGAGGAGGAGCGCG